GGGAGGAGGGCCGATATGAGGCTTTCACCGCTCCCATCCCCATTGGAGAGCGAGGCAGCAAGGGACACTGCGGCTTGTGGGTGTGGGCTTCATCTGCCGGAGCGCCGTCTCCCCTGAGCCGTGCCCCGCCTGGGAGGACGGCGACAGAGACGTTCTGGCCTCTGAGTCTGCGTGCGGTTCCGGTGCCCACTCTTCATCCTCGTGGCTGATTGTGCCAGAGAGCTCCTCGGGGAGGGCCCTAGCGTAAGGGCAGTTTCCCAGCGCCAGGGACAATGCCGCATCTAGGACCTGCGCCCGCGCTGCGTCCCGAGGGCCCCGGTGCGAACGTCAGAACGCCGCCCCGTTCTGCGCTCTCAGCAGCCAGCCAGGGCCTCTACCCGTTCCACTGTAGAGAGGAGGAAACGGGGCGAGAGCCTGACTTTCCTTTCCGCCCAAAAAGGTTTCTCAGTGATTGCTGTAGTACCTGAGACTCTACCATAGGGTCTTCCGTCTACATTAAAGTAGTCGATTTCTTCTTTAAAATACTTCTATTAGAGTATAATATGCATACTAAAAAGTGTGCAAGTCATAATATAGACATAGATGAATTATCACAAAGCAAGTAAACCTGTGTAGGAAGCAGAGCATTCCTACTACCCCAGAAGCCCTTATTGTGGGCCCCACTTAGTCTCTCCGAAGGTAACCGGTATCCTGACTTCTAACGCCACAGATTTTTTTTTTTAATGTTTTAACATTTGACACCTTGGTATAAGGAGCCCCCTTTACCCATCAACTGGCTTCAACAATTATCAGCTCTTAGTCTTTGTTTTATCTTTATTACTGTTTCCCCATCCCGATGCTTTGGTTAATTTTGAAGGAGATCCCAGGCAGTAAATCATTTCATCCGTAAATATTTTGATATAGATCTCCAAAAGATAAGGATACTTTTCAATACCATTATCACACCTAAAATATTAATAGAGTTGTAAATATCACGAAATATCCAGTTAGTGTTCAGATATCCCTGATACTTTTTTTTTTTTTTTTTTTTTTTTTTTTTTGAGACGGAGTCTCCCTCTGTGGCCCAGGCTGGAGTGCAGTGGCGCGATCGCGGCTCACTGCAAGCTCCGCCTCCCGGGTTCAGGCCATTCTCCTGCCTCAGCCTCCGGAGTAGCTAGCTGGGACTGCAGGTGCCGCCACTACGCCCGGCTAATTTTTTTTTGTATTTTTAGTAGAGACGGAGTTTCACCATGTTGGGCAGGATGGTCTCGATCTTCTGACCTTGTAATCTACCCGTCTCAGCCTCCCAAAGTGCTGGGATTACAGGCGTAAGCCACCAGGCCCTGCCTTTTTTTTTTTTTTTTTTGTCACCCAGGTTGGAGTCCAATGGCACGATCTCAGCTCACTGCAACCTCCACCTCTCGGGTTCAAGCGATTGTCCTGCCTCAGCCTCCCGAGTAACTGGGATTACAGGCGCCCGCCACCACGCCCGGCTTTTTGTATTTTTAGTGGAGATGGGGTTTCGCCTTTTTGGTCGTGCTGGTCTGAAACTCCTGACCTCGTGATCCGCCCACCTCGGCCTCCCCAAGTGCTGGGATTACAGGCGTGAGCCACCGTGCCTGGCTCAGATATCCCTGATACTCTCATAATTTTTTTTTTTTTTTATGATTTCGTTGAATCAGGATCCAAATAAAGGCTCGTGTATGATACAGTTGGTTGCTATGTGCCCCCCTTAACTCTTTCTGAATCTTTTTAATAGAAACATACAGAAGTGGAGAGAGTAGAATAAACCCCTGTATACTGTCACCCAGCTCCAGCAGTTATCAATTCCCTACCAATGTTGTTTCATCCCTCCCCACCTGTTCACCAGATTACTTTTTAACGAACTTAATTATCGGGTTATTTTGTATGTATTTTGATATGTACCTCTAAAAGATAAGAATTTTTTAAAACGTAGCTAATCATACTATTCTAAAAAACTAGTACTTCTGTAATATTAAATATTCCATTAATGTTCACATTATTGGGAAGCTCCCTGAGTTCCATGAGAGGAAGCTTTCTTGAGTCTCTCTCCTAAGGAGCGAGCACCCAGGTGACTTGAGCTGAATTGGATTCATGAGCCCTACTGGATTAAATATCTTATTTCTGATTTTTCAGATCACAAATCTTGGGACACGTTTTGGTTTGGGTTACTGTTTTGCTTGTTTGTGTTGATTTCTGTTGGTTTGTTGGTTTGTTTTCTGTTGATTTGTTTTTGGAGAACCTCCTTTTTGAATCCAAAGAGTATTTGATTGACACATTTGCATTCAGGTCTGTCTCTTACAGACACTTCTTCCATTTTAGCTGAGATTTCGTTTTGCTTTGTCATTTTGGCTCTAGACGCCTTTGGCTTTTTGCATGAATATTTCAGATCCTGCTCTTGAGGCCTGATGGAGATTTTCTGAAGTCTGCTTTCTTAACTTTTGTCAGTTCCATATTTGCATCTCTGTGGCATCTATTCATTTTCCAGTTTTCATATTTGCCAAGTTCTAGAGATGGGTCTGACTTGTGCATATCACCCTTCTTTAATCTCAATAGTATATATGTACACAAAGCTTGCTTTCATGTTTTTCCTTTATTGGATTTATTTATGTTAAAGCTTCTGATGACAGACAAATAGAAGGAAGTCTAAAACTCTATGTCCAGATTGGTTGCTAGGCTAGTTTTCCATACTTCCTTCTGTATATTCAGTGCATGATATATGTCATGTATCCTCATTTTTCTTTTAAAACGTGGGAAACAAAAACAGTTTCAGCCTGTATTTTTCAAGATCAGTTCTTCTAGGACGGACAATAATAATCTGTATCTGTTTCTTTATTACATAAATTAGATAAGGTATGCAGATGACCATAAGCCCAGAAAGAGTTTAGTGTTGCCTGAAAAGGTAACAGTAACGTGCAGTTATGTAGAAAAGAAAAATTGAAACCGTTTTTCACCCAAAGCTACCAGGATTCAATAAAGGATTCATCTTTTTCTTCAGTGACCTTCATTATCACAGCTTTGCCTCAGAGACCACACTCTTTTTTAAGGCTTGTTTTTCAACACATCTCTACTACAGATTTTGTGACAGAATTTTATGTACTGTGAAGCTGTGTTACTTTGGTGTGCACCAGGTTAAAATTATCTTGGCAAAATGAATTTTTGGTCATTATGCAGTGACCCACATAATCTATAAAACTGCTTTTTGCCTGTAATCTGTTGTGTCTGATATTAATGCAACTGTACCAGCTTTATTTTGGCTTCCTAGTGTGTTTTTAATACATTTTCAACTCTTCTGTGTTTATATGATTTATATAGCTAGCTTTTATATTTTTAGCCAACCTGCCAATCATTATCTTTTAACTAGAAAGTTTCATCTATTTACATTGTCATTTCATGATTACCACTATAATTGGATTTATTTCTGTCACATTTTGTGATTGGTTTCATCTTTTTTTTTCCTTTTTTATTTTTGGATTGATTTTTACTTTTGGATTATTTTTGTTTTGTACATTTTTTCCCCCTCCACTGGTCTGGAGATTATATCCTCTACTTTTTCCAAGATCATTGCCCTTTAACTTCTAAAATGCATATTTAGATTAAATTGTAATGCTCATCACACTCTACTATCCTTTAGAACACCTTAGGTCCACACACATGTCTAACCATATGCTCTTGTCTAATAATAAAGTCTTATCCTTTAAAACACACATAACATTCTTTTAAACAGTCAGTTTCCGCCCCCCCCCCCGCCCAATTTAACCAATTTTATTTACTTACTGTTCTTTCTAGCATCCAAGTTTTCCTTAAAGGATGTTTTTCCTTCTTCCTAAAAGAAGTTTCTAAGTAACTTCTAAAAAGTTCCTTTAGTGAGTTCTAAAACGTACCTTTAGTGAGTATTAGTTGCTAATACATTATCTGTTTTTGTTTGTCCAAAAATGTCTTCATTTTGCCCTTATCCTTTATTTATTTAGTTATTTTTATTTGAGACGAGGTCTTGCTGTGTTGCCCAGACTGGCCTCCAATTCCTGGGCTTAAGTGATCCTCCCACCTCAGCCTCCTGAGTAGCTGGGACTACAAGCACATGCCAGCATACCTGTATTTTGCCCTTATTTTTTAAAGATAGTTTTGCTACATATGCAATTTTAGGTTGATAGTTTATACTTGCAACATTTTGAACATTTTTTTCTATTTTCTGGATTTTATCATTCCTATTTAGAAAACACCTGTTAGTATAGGTGTTTCTTTCTTTGTAATTTCTCTTTTCTTTCTGGCCACTTTTGAGATCCTCTCATTCATCATTTTCAAAATAATAATTTTACTTTTTTGACTTGAGACTGTATACATATCCTGAATCTAGAAACCTATATTTTTTATCAGTTCTAAAAAATTCTCATCATTGTCTCGTCATACATTCTTATTCATTTTTCTATATTTTTGCTCTTTTACAGTTCTCATTTTTATCTTTGTAGCATTCTGTGTAATTTTTTTTATCTGCCTTTCAGTTCACTCTCACTTCACCTGTGTCTAACCTGCTTTTTAACTTATTCATTGTTTACTTTTTACGGCTTTGATGAGGTATTCTTCACATAAAATAAACTATGCGTATTTAAATGTACAATTTGATCAGTTTTGACCAATGTACAGGTATATATGTCCGTAAAGACATCACCACGATCAAGATATTGAGCATATCTGTCACCTGCTGAAGTTTTCTCCTATTCTTTAATCCTTTTCTCCTTCCATTTCCAGCCCTACACCCCAAATTCCCAGGCGACCGTGGATATGCTTTTTTGTTACTGTAGAATAGTTTACATTTTTTAGAATTTTATATAGTAAAGTCAACTCTTTAAACAAAATTCTCAGCTTGAGAATTTTGAGAAGAGTGGGTTAAATCCCCCAAAGAGGCATGAGGGCTGACTTTGTAATTTATAATCCTCAGGGGACAAGAATCCTGGTTGTTTACTTTTTAGGGTACGTTATTGTAGTGATAAGTTTTACCTTTTCACTTCAGGTGTAGTTCCCCTAGGTGGTCCTGGCTTTACCTGAGGATCTCTGAACGAGTTTCTCATCTTACAAGTATTGGTTTTATCCTCCCTTCCCTGTAGGTCATTGAAACTAAAGCTCTCCATCACTGTAGATCATCATATGCTCTCAAAAGGACTGCTCCCGTCAAAAGGACTGCTCCCTTGAATACTCCAAGTTTATGTTCTCATCTTGCCTTTGGCCCCTGACAGTTACATCTACCTTCTTGAAAGCTCAATCATATGTTTGGGGGGAAAATGGATATTTTGTTTTATTTTTATAGTAGGAAGAATTTTTTTAAAGATATTTAATTCATCTTATTCCAGCAATGGAATTCCTATTCAGTATCTTCTTTGAGCATAGGAGCAACATCTAGGACTTCTTCTGTGTTCCCTCCCATGGTTATTTCCAAACATAACTAATGATGTTTCATTAACTACAATCTTCTGGGGCTATTGTTTAAGTCTCTGGCGCTACCTCAAACCCAGAGAATTAGAGTCTCCCTCTGGGTGAAAAAAATCCTAGGAATCTGAAGTTTTAAAGCCCCTCAGACAATCTGAATCCTCACCCAGGCTTGTGGGCCATTGCACTCTTACTGGGAATAGTGCGGGGTTCTCAATAAAATCTTATGTATTCTGAGATCGTTAATAGTATTGGTTTCTTCAAAGGGGAAGGGCATTTTTAGTGTACATTTTATTTTCTGGACATGCTTCCACATTGTCTAGCTCTAAATTTTGTTAAATGAAGAATTCAAATTTCAGATCCATTTTCCCATATAGTCTGTTGTCCACAGCCATCAGCCACCATATGTATTCCTGAGGAGCTGAGTAGCAAGCAAAAAAGTATCTTCTTTGGCACCTCTCTTTGAACAAAACCTGGGCATCTGCTGGTCCCTCACTGAAACGTGAGGTGGGATATTGACTGTGGAAGCCCACAGTCCAGAAGCCTGTGGTGCTGGCCCTCTGCACACCGCAGCTGCCCCAGCTTTCCTGGCCGTCCCTGCTCTGTGCAGTTTTCTGCCTCATTCATCATGGCAGCGCTATACTGTGAGGTGATTGGCCACATAATATATTTAGCAGCAAACCTCTCTCTGACTTGGAATATGCAAATGTTATTCATTAGATGCTGGCTCTGCAGCTGTTACCTTTTCTGAGGCTCCAGCCAATTTCACTTGACTAAAGATTCCTTGGTGGGAAGGATTCACATGCAATCTTGAGTTACCACACTACAGAGGTGATCAGTGAAGCCACCTCATTCCAGAGTTTGGTTATACATTGTGCACAATGTGAAACCCACAAAGAAATGATGGGTTTTTCATTTTAATTAGGCCATAGATCCTGCTCTTGCTATTTTAAGTTAAATTGTAAATTTCGGGTAGAGGGAGGTAATTTCTCATATTGCCTATCATCTAAACACAAGAGCCTTCATTATGAAATGATCATAAAGATTTGCTATTATGAGAGAGACGTTTAACGTAAACATCTACTGTAAACAAGTAGATTTAGTGCTATTAAGTTGCCTTAGTGTGAAGGGGGTTTAAGGACTTTTTTGTTTTTATTTTGTTTTAATCACTTGGCTTCAATCCCTTTAAGACAGTCATAAGAAAAGCTAATTGCTTTTATATCATATCAAGTTCTAAAGTTGTTTTCCCCCAGTAGGTACTGAGTCATTGAGATCAATCCCTCAGGGAAAAAAAAGAGGAAAAATGGTTAAATGCAGAATAGGTTTTCAACAAATGCTTATTACTTGATCATTTCTGCTTGTGTCCTTATTACCTGATAAACCAATTTCTTCCACCAGGGAGTAAACAAACCTTGGAAACCCAATTGCTTTTTTGTTTCTTCCTTTTCTTCCTTTGATTCATTTCTTTAGGTATTTACTAGGTGCCTTTTATGCAACTGTTCTAGGGACTGAGAATGTGTGTCTTAGTAATTACATGGATTTTATTTTTAGTGTGAGAGACAGAAAAAACAACACAAATTAGCATTTGTTGGTTTTTATCCTGATTGGCTGATTTATCTTTTAAAAGGCTCACTCAGACTGCTGGGTGGAGATTAGATAATAAGGGTGGGGACAAGAGTTAAAACAAGGTGGAGAGATGAGAGATATTGGCGGCTTAGCAGTGGTGGTGATGAGAAATATATACTTATATTTCAAATCTAGAGCCTATAGGATTTACTGACAAATTGGTTATAGAGTGTGAAAAGAATGGGGTCAAGGATGATGCCTACATTTTTAGACTGAGTAAACCAGCCTATATAGTGGTCATTTACTGAGATGGGAAAAGCAGATGGAGAGTGGAAGTTTGAGGAAATAAGAGAACATGTGATGTTTATATACCTATTAGACACCCAAATGGAAATATCACCTATGCAATTGGAAATGCAAGTCTGAAGTTAAAGGGAGAAGTGTGGGTAGGTATGTCCATGTGGAGCCAACCATCTATAGGTGATGGTTAAAGCTGTGGCAGAGAATGAGATCACCTAGGGACCGAGCATAGATGGTGAAGGGAAGTCTGCAGTCTACTGCTGAGTCCTAGAGGCACTCCAACATTTAGAAGTCAAGAAGAAGAGGAGATCTTGCAAAGGAAGGAGAGAAAAAAGAGAATATTTTGTGAAGGATAGAATGGTCAGCTGTATCAAATGATAGTGAGAAGTCAAGTAAGAAGAGGACTGAAAATTAACCACTGGATTTTAACAATGTGGTAGTGGTTATTGGTGTCAGTGGAATGTGTTGAAGACTGGGAGCTCAGGAAGTAGTAACAGCTGTATCTGAGATGACTCTTGAGCAGTCTTGCTGTTAAGAGGAGCAGAGAAAAGGAGACATAACTGTAGGAAATATGAGGGCAAGGGAGGGCTTTTTTGTTTAACACTCTTCAACCTTTGTAACAGAATAGAGGACAGAGGATATGGGCACAGATGCTAGTAACCTGGTAGACATGATGCTCGAAGGATAAAGTTCTCTTTGGATTGCTTCTGTTTTCTCAGTTAAATGAGACACAAAATCATAGGCTGAGAGTGAGGAGAAGGGGAAAGAGGAATTGTAAATTTGAAAAGCAATGACAAGATGTGAACTAAACATTTTGGAGAGTATGCTGCCTAGGATTTCAGACATTTTCAGACTCTGAGATAAAAGTGTGATCTCAGAAATACCAAGTATTCCTATGGATGTTCTGCTGAAAGGAACCAAAATAGGAATCATTCAGGCCAAAAATCATTAAGGATAACCAGAGTGCTGCTGTCATTTGTTCAGGGTAGGTATAAAAGTCACTAGATACATTTCAATTTTTTAAATGTTTTGAATAGCTGATATACATCTATAACCTGATATATAGCTAATATATTTCAAAATACAAAAGGAATAAATGTGTAAGCAATGAAGAGTCTTCTTCCCTGGATCTCATCTCATTTCTTTCTTTCTTTTTTTTTTTTTTTTTGGAACCTATCAGGAAATATACTTGCTTGTGTGTCCTTCCAGAAATATTTTATTGATCCTCTCCCCGCCTCTCCCCGTCCCAGGTCTTTTATTTTTCTTGTATTTTTTTCTTTCATGAGCTAATTATATTGAACTTCTTTATTTCCACTTTTATTTTAGATTCAGGGAGTACATGTACAGGTTTATTGCATGGGTATATTGCATGGCACTGAGGTTTGGGGTATAAGTGATCCCATCATCCAGGTACTAAGCATAGGTAGTTTGTCAGCCCTTGGCCCCTTCCCTCTCTCCTGCCTCTAGGAGTCCCCAGTGTCTACTGTTCCCTTTATGTCCTGTATACCTAGTGCTTACCACCCACTTGTAAGTGAGAACATGTGGTATTTGGTTTTCTGTTCCTGTGTTAATTTACTTAGGATAATGGCCTCCAGCTGCATCCACATTGCTGCATAGGACATGGTTTCATTTTTTTTTTTTATGGCTGTGTAGTATTTCATGGTGTATATGTACCATATTTTCTATATCCAATTCACCATCGTTAGGTTGATTCCATGTCTTTGCTATGGTGAGTAGTGCTGCAGTGAACATTGAGTGCATATGTCTTTTTGGTAGAATATTTTATTTTCTTTTTGGTATATACTCAGCAATGGGATTGCTGGATCAAATGGTAGTTCTGCTTTAAGTTCTTTGAGAGATCTCCAAACTGCTTTCCACAGTGGCTGAATTAATTTACCTTCCTACCAACAGTGTATAAGCATTCCCTTATCTCTGCAGCCTTACCAACATCTGTTATTTTTTGACTTTTTAATAACAGCCATTCTGACTGGTATGAGATGGTATCTCATTGTGGTTTTTATTTGCATTTTTCTGATGATTAGTGATGTTGAGCATTTTTTCATATGTTGCTTGGCTGCTTGTATGTCTTTTGAGAAGTATCTGTTCCTGTCTTTTGCCCATTTTTTAATGGGGTATTTGGTTTTCGCTTGTTGAATTGTTTTAAGTTCCCTACAGATTCTGGGTGTTAGACCTTTGTTGGATGCGTAGTTTGTGAATATTTTCTCCCATTCTGTAGATTGTCAGTTTACCCTGTTGATGGTTTGCTTTGCTGTGCGGAAGCTCTTTAGTTTAATTAGGGTCCCACTTGTCAATTTTTTTTTGTTGCAATTGCTTTTGAGGACTTCGTCGTAAATTCTTTCTGAAGGCCGATGTCCAGAATAGCATTTCCTAGGTTTTCAAACTGATCCTTTTTTTAAAAGCTAAATACATGCTAAGAAGTTTTTTTAAAATAATTCTCAACCCAATTAAATCATTTTTTAAATATTTTAAAGAATAAATATTCTTTTTTCCTCTTTAATTTGTATAAAAATAATTTCTAAAAAGCAAGAAAGAACGTCTCTTTTAATACCTCATGTTGGCAGCCATCTGGCAAGAATTGTAAAAAAATAGGTATCTTTAACAAGGTTTTTTTTTCTTTTTTTGTCTTCACAGCTGATCTTGCATCTTTAATGGATAAAACATTTGAGAGAAAGTTGCCTGTTAGTTCTTTAACAATATCACGGGTAAGAAAATTTTAACATATATATTTTCCAAGAAGAAGGAAGAAAGCCAGAAAGGCCCTTCATGTAGATGAGGCTGTGTAAATAAAAAATACTTTGCATAGGAAATATTTTTCAAGACTATGGTATGTTTTTATAGTTACTAATAGATATTTTTATAGTGTAGTAGCAAATTTCTTTGGCTGAAATAAAAGGTAGTACATTTACCAGATTCTGATATCAGTAATCACTTTTGTGTATCTGATTTATTTTATTTTTTTCCAGGATATGATATTCTGCTGTATGATACCATCAGTTTTTTTAAGTTGATACGTCCTTCAAAGTAATGATATTTACCCGTTAGTATTGGAAGTGTTTTTGATAGCCAAGAAAGTCTGTAAAAGAATGGATATTAATGTTAAAGTTAAACTGCAGCAGAGTAATGGTTGGAAGAATAATGTTAGGTTAGGAATCAGGAATAGTAACCATTACTGAGCACCTTCTATGCCAGTTTTGAATGTATTCGTTCCTTAACATACATTATTTTTAAAATTCTCACTGCTCCCTATGCAATAAGCAGTCTATGTAAGACATCGTTTAATAACTTTTCCAAGTTCACATAGCTTGTAAGCGTGGAAAAACTGAGATTCAAACCCAGATAGCTAGGTTCTCTTCTGTTGCCTGCTTCAAATATATCTGGGCTTGTCTTTATCACAAATTCACTTTATGACACTGGGCAATGAGACCCCTCTCAATTTTCTCATTTTCAGCATGGATACGGTTGCATCTTCCTCCCAGGGAATAATGGGATGCTAAAATGAGATTTTAGCTGTGAAAACTTTTTACAGAAATTAATGGCACCATAAAATTTAAAATATTGTTAAATATGGAAGAGAGAGAGGAAATAAATTACCTTTCTTTTGAATCCTGGTCCTTTCTTTCTGCCTTTTAGTTGAGAAACAGTTTTACTGGTCATAAGTTACATTTAATAGACTCATAATTGGCATATTAGAGGAGAATGGAAAGGCCATTGGTTCGTCCCTTACATGATAGGTAAAACTTCTGTATGCCATAATACTTGCTATTTATTTAGGTAGTACTTCAAGGTTTACAGCTTTTATGTACATTTTCTCATTGGTGCCTTATACTCTTCGGGGCCGGTGCCTTTATCCTATTTATGCAGATGGTGCAACCAAGTCCCAGAGGGGCTGTGCCATCTGTTTATGCCATACAGCAAACAATCAGAGCTGTTTCTCAAGCTCAGGTTCTGTGTTTGAACCACATTTTATATGCCCTTAATGGATTTCTAAGTCAAATCTAGAAGTGCTAGGGATTTTTAGAAAGTCTCCCTCTTTTTACTCTCCTCTCTCTTCTATGAGGTTTTCATTATATTCACAACATGCATTGTCTTCTACGCTTTTTTTTTTCTTTTTTGCCTCTGAGTCTCTATTTTAGAATAGAATCTGTCTTTGAAATAATCCTTTTTATTTGTTTATTTGGACCATAGTTAATGAGCATACTCAGAGATTTTATGGTTTGAAAGGAGAGTTTGTTGGTAAAGGAATCATAGGTTTACTGTTGCATAGCAGAGCTTCAATCAAAGTAGGAAAAAATGGTTGCAAGACTGAATTCTCTAAATTTAGATGTTTATGTTCTGGGCAATAGTTTTTTAGCCATCAGAGTCTTCATTCTTTCAGCCATATGTTCCCGTGTTTGGAACATAAAGAAAATAGTATCAGGATTTAAAGATAAAGGAAAAAATAGGTAACTAGTTATAATCAGTGGAACACTCCTTGTTCTGAGCAAGCTTCATGTTTGGCTTTCAATCCATTTTCTGATCAAGGTTGTTCCACAAATAGAAAAAGAAAAGCCATTGTATATTCTTTGTTTGCATTAGCATAAAGGGGTTTCAAGGATGGAGCCATACCACGTGAACATTTTTCCACTAAGCATCACCATCGTTCTGATAAAACGGGTGTCCTGTGTTTTGTAAGGTCAATGTGTGATCTAGGCCCTAGGCCAAATATATGACATAATTTATATTCAACCAAAGGTTTCTTTTTCTGTCTTTTAGCTTGTAGACAACATTTCATCTCGGGAAGAGATAGATCATGCAGAGTATTACCTTTACAAGTAAGTTTTCCTTTAGATTTGGCTGTGTACTCTGTGATTTCACACCCTTTTTTACATAAAAGTTGGTATGTGTTATGTATAATTTTGACACCTTCTAAGTTTATATTTTAAAGATCTTTTCATATGAGTATAGAGTTTCTGATTTTTTATAACTGCATTTTTTTCCATACCGTGAGTGTATCATTTAAACCAGTTCCCTTTTTATGGACCTCTAGATTATTCTCTTTTGTATTGTATACAATGTTAAAATTGATAACCTTATACATATGTAATTTTTCACCTAATTTTCATGAGTATATGTATTTATAGTTTTAATCGCTATTGTCAAATTGCTTTCTGTTGAAGTTTTTACATTCCCACTAGCAATGTGTGAGAGACGTATATTTTTACAGCTTGGCCAATAGTTAGGTATTTTCACATTTGCATTTTTTTGCCAATCTGATCAGTGAAAGTTTATACACACACACACACACACACAAGTTGAGTATCTCTTACCTAAAATGCTTGAAACCAGAAGTGTTTAAGATTTTGGATTTTTTAAGATTTTTGAATATTTGCATTATACTTACTATTTGAGTACCTCTAATTCGAAAATCCACAATGCTTCAATGAGCATTTCCTTTGAACATCATGTTGGTGCTCAAAAAATTGTGAATTTTGGAACTTTTCAAATTAGAGATACTCAATCTGTATGTATATTTCTTCTCTCCTTTTTTTTTTTTAACAGGTGGAATTATACCCGATATGAACTGTTATGTACCTATTTTGAATGAACACTGTTATAAAACCTTTTCTACATTACCACATTTACTTCATTCTTTCTCAGAGCTGCTGACAATTCCATTGTGAACTACTCACAAAACTCACCTGTGTGTGCAAAAAGTATGTTCAGTACAGCATCATTTATGGTAGCAAAAGACTGAAACAACCTAATGCACATTAAATAAAGAACTGGTCAAACAAATATCTGTCAGAATTGTACCTTACAACTAAATTTTTATTGTGATTCCAGTTTTTAGAATCTGATTTGTGATTTGATCCAGTTCCTATGTTCCAAAAATAGACTCAGATTGAAATTTTAAATGTTTCCAGTAAGCATTGCATTAGGGTTTCCCATTTGATCTTGCTTGTTGTGCTCAAGAGAATTTTTAGTTATTTCTGTCTAGATGCATTTTCATTTTTTGTTGTTTTTTGGGGGGGTAGTTTTTTTCTAGATGCATTTTTTAAAGCTTACTGTATTTTAGTGAAAATTTATTCATTTTTCTTTGATTTTGCTAAATAATAATGAGGCTTCTTTTTTTTCAAATTTCTGAATTGGGTAGATGCTACCACTTTTTGGGTGTTTTCTATTTAAATGTAAACCTCAAGTACGCTAGATTCCGCACCTTAAAAAAACATTTATTTTAAACCTCAGATTGGCTGTAATGGTGTCCTAAGTTGAAATTCTAGGTACTAACTTAGTTGCAAGTCATCTTAGTTGTAAGTGCCCTCTTTTACTTCATTAGGATAATGAAAAATGAACCCCTTGATGAGAGCTAGCCCAGCCTTCCTTTAGTGGCTCTTTGGGACTGTAGGACTGCTTTGGTAGTTATTTTTTGTCTATGGTGAAGGGTGTATTTGGGCTGGCATCTGGCCAGTTCTCATATTTTTATTTATAGCAAAATGCAGAACATAGTTTCAATTTCTAAATATAAGCTGTTTTTTTAGAACTTCATCCTGTGAGATACAGTGCCATAGTATTGGGAGAAGTATGTTCCAAATTCATAAGTACTTCTGTAGTATATCATTGATTTCAGTGACTCAGCATTTCAACAAGTATTTACTTAGCACTTATTATGTGCCCAGGCCCTGTCCTGGGTGCTGGATATCTAATGTTGAATAAGTTAGACATTCTCCAAATATTACTGAAAAGTTGAAGTTCTGTTTTTAAGATCTTCTATGATTAATTTTTCACACGTTCAGTTTTGCGTGGCCTGGGGTAAAACTGAAAGTTTCGTAAGATCACTGTGTCCTATTTCCTTATAGATCATATAAAGGACTCTTGTCCATCATAAGTCTGAGCCACTGTTTAACTGGACATCCCATTTCTTGCTTTAATCAAAACTAATTCTTTAGCTATGCTTTACCATTTATCTTAGTTCTTTCTCCTCCCTTCCATTACCAAGAAAATTGAAATTGACTCTCTTTTTATCAGCTTTTTTTTTTTTAAGACAGAAATGTTTTTATGACTTCATGTGCTTGTATATATATGAGACTAGGTAGAACTCTACAAAGCTGCATTGATACAGTAGAGATTGGCTGGATTCTCTCGTTAGCTAAGTGCCTCACTCTTGCCTTCTAGCCTTAGAGAATATACAGAATATACTTATGCCTTAGCAAAATTAAAAATTACAAGTTATAAACTCTTAGGGTTTCTCTCAAGTAATCAAAATCAGGGATGTTAATCCTGAAGACACCAAGGACTTACTACTGTGTAATATTTCTACCAGTTAGGGCTTCAATCGTTATGATGCCTAACACTCCTCATGGGATGACTTTAGACATCTTGGAGTAAACTTAACAATTCGAGATCTAAGGTGAAGAAATGAAGAAGGAATGTCTGTCTTAATTTTAGATAACTCACAGCTTGCAGGCCTGGTGTTAGGATTTCTCAGTCCTTAAGCAGTACTGTCTTTAACAGTGAAGCCCACAGAAGAACTTTTGCATTGGTTCACCTCTTTCTCTGACATGGCCTGTGAACACCAGGCTCTGCTAGCAGGAGTGTAGCTGCCACATCTTCTCCTCTTCTAATGATCACATTTCCGCAATGATTATGTAAAGTCTAGAGCCAAAGAAGTTTAGAAACCTCGAATGATCAATGAAGAGCTGATTGAGCTTCTGCCATTGCATCAGGCATGCAAGTGAACAGTTCCAAGTTCCAGCAGCTCACGGTGCTGCTGGTACCTGCCAGCTTATTATCACCCTATCATCCCAGCAGAATATTTGAAGCTTTGAATCTCCCAAAGTACATGGGCTTAAATGTTTAGGGACTGCAACATTAAAGGGATCTTTTAAGGAGAGATAGAAAGGCTGCTGTTCAGTCAGCAGACGGGAGAACAAATTCCTAAGTACTTTTATTTGGGCCATGGTCTATTCTCTGGGAGCTGGCAATCCTATGATCAACTTTCACCTTCTGTTTATAAATAAAAAATGAAAACACCAAGGAAAGGGTGAAACTCTACCCAAACAATAATGTGAACTAAAAATGGTTAAGGCAATACCAGAAACTATATTCATTGGCCAAAACAAAAAACAAAAAAACTGATAATACTCATATAACAGGAAAATAAACCAAAAACCAAGAGTAAAAGTGATTAAAATAGCAACAAGGTTAAAACAAAGTAAAACAAAATAAGAAAACAAGGCATACTGTTTGGCTGTGACAAATACAGAAAACGTAAATAAGATAATAAAAAATAAATACAGTAAAATGAAATAAGGATTTGAGCCAGGGACTTTATATGATATGTACAGTTTAAGCTGGGTGATTGGGAAAATAGGCATAGGTGTGCTTTTGCACAGATAACACTAGCAGGCTAAATGGTAAACCTCTTTATGAGTAGATTTCAAGCTGTCTTCTGAGAAGCCCTGAAGCTAGTTTCTTACAGGCCCTCTAGGGCGTGGCTTGGGGGAAGAATAGGTCTGGAGAGAGGCCAGACCATGCTGCCATGGGCCATTTGCTTTTGCTTCTGTTTCTGCCAGATAAACTGTGCCTCCAGCTGCCTTATCGGAGTCTACAAAGAAAATTCAGAGAGGACTGTGAACTTGAATAAGAATAAAATCATATTTTATTTTCACTAACCTCAATAATATTTAGCATTTCTTTCACTTATGCATGTAGGCAGCAGATGACTATAATATTAACGGCATCTGTGTCTTTCTTGCCAATAAAAATCATTGATTTTTTCATATCACATTACATTTGTTACAGATATCATCACTGCTTAGAAATTATGTTAGTAATTAAATCTACCACTAGCTAGTGTTATTTCATCCATTAATAAAGCAGCACATATGTTACCATATCCCAAGGATTTCTTAATATCTTGACAATTGTATTTCAATATAATTGGTTTCTGTTGTATAAAACTAATTCTGAGATGCCTTCATCAGACTGCCAGAGGGTTCGAGACAAAAAATTGTTAGGAACCGTGCTGTGAGATCTTGTTTGAAAAATAGGTTCTTTTGCTTAGACTTATTTTTATTTCTTCTCTCGGGTTTTTTGGGTTTTAAGTACTTTGGGTCTTTGTTTTCTCTTCTTACAAAGAAGACTTTCTTAGTTTAGACCTTACCAGGTAAGACAAGCATATAATTGATAGGTTTTCTGTCTTCACAGTGAAAATTTAGATACAGCCAGTCTCCCAAGTTTCCCTACAACACCAGAAAAAAAGGTGTGGTGAGGAGTGAGAAGATTTGGACAGGCCCTGAGATGCTGCATGTCAGACCAGTGCTGGCAGGGGGCTAGGCAGGAAGATTTTATATCCCATGTTAATTTTAAAAACAGTTGAGCAAAATTCTTTCTTTCTCCGGGCAAAGGATTAATTTCTACTTCCTATCCACATGCCCTCTCGTTAATATTTGGAAGAGAAAAGGGCTCCTACCTTTGCTTTACTGTAAACTTACGCCATTCCTAAGAATTAGATTTGCATCTTTATTTTACTCATGCAGAGACTAAAACATAGAGATTGGCTGAGCACACGCAAGACTCAGAGACTGAGTATAAGCCCCTGCCTGTCCTGAGAGGGAAACCATAAGGATCAGATGTGAGCAGTGGGGCAATGCTATGAAAACAATGCAGTGCTGTCTCAGTGCAAGGTTTTATCATTAAGGATCCCAGATGGGGCTACAATTTCTTTATAGGAAACTAAGGCAGAAGAAATTCCAGAGAGACCAGGCTTTGCTGTTCCTCTACAAGAGATCCCCTTTTGGGATCTGTCTGCCTGGAGTCAGTTACGGTGAGT